CTCTGACCTTGACAAGGGGAGTTTGGGGGAGTGCTGGGGATGGGAGCCTAACAGGAACAGGTTTAGGGACAGTGAGAAAAGACTAACTGAAGATGCTATATATACAAGGCTGCTTCAAGCTGCAAAGGGGAACAGGGAAGCCAGGTGGAGCCTTGCAGGGCGTTAGGACTAAATAAGGTGTCTGTGTTTAAGGTGAGACAAAAGAACACATTTGGTTTATGTTGGGAATCAGTCAATATACAAGAGAAATTTAGGGAGAAAGGAGAGGTTGCTGCAATGATTCCGTAGGTAAATGAAGTGAGGGCAACTGCGGCTCCTTTAGATCGAGTGCAGATGGCAGACAGGTCACCTGTTGGGGCGGAGCAGGGGCCGAGTGGGGGTGGTGCACAAAAGGCATGTGTCAGTGCAGATGCCAGTTGATGCCAATCAGCGTGACAGAGAGAGTGTTCCTAAGCTCTCTTCTGGCAGTTTCAGCTGAAAAGGAGGATGGCAGGGCAGGGTGGAGGCACGGTTTGCGGGGTTGAGCAGAGAAGATGAGATTTGCAAGTGTTACCATCTAGGAATGGGAACGAGTGAATGGACCAGGAGGGCCCAGGATGGTTGGCCCATGTAAACAAAGAGTGACCAAATTACCTCATCACAGCCCACGGCGGGCAGCTGCAAAACAGCAAAAGGGGCTATAGAAGGTTGGGTGGTGCAGTGCAGTTGTTATAACAGGTGTATGAATTTACTCAACAGAGCAAATACTCGGAGACGCAATGCTGCGACCAGGTCCCTCTTTGACAGGGAGCCCAGCATGAGCCTTCTTATGACGTCGTACCTCATTTCTTGCCCTAGTGGCTGTAACGAACATGCAGGGACGTCTACAAGGGCTTCAGGATATTAGAGAATGTGAACGCTGTTGTACTGGTCGTTTTCAGACAAGGTGGATTTAAAAAATTAAGCATACAGTATAAAAATGAGGGAAGGGAAATTCAATTCCAGCCCATTTCCTCCTGATAAATAAAAGTGTACTCGTTCCAGACTATTAACTCCAATATTAAACCCAAGGTAGATCTGTTAACTTCAGTGGTTAATGTGTACTAAAAACAAACAAACAAACGAAAAAGAAGTCCCTTCCTCTGTAGAGAATGAATCTGTTTTTTCTAATCACTGGGGCATTTTGTTACTTTGACATGGGTACTACAGGAATAAGAAAGCCAGAACAGACTCAAGGGAGAGCCATCATTCCCAACTACTCACAAGCTATGATTTTGTTGAAAATACACAATGTAACTACTAAGGTTGCAAAAGACATTGGCAGGAGACAGGAGACCTGACTTTTATCCAGTATAGCATAGTTTATAAAGCTATGTTCAAATCAGAATTTTGCTACTTACTAACAATGTGATATTGATCCAGTTATTTCAATGCCCTGAGACTCAGTTTCTTCATCTGTAAAATGGGAATTGTAACTGTGAGAATTAAATGTCTTAATGTCTATATAAAGTATTTAGCCTACAGCTTAAGACATAGTAAACACCCAGAAGATAATGATGGTGACAGAGATGATGATATGATCTTGATGATGATGACATGATGTGAAGAGGAGGAGGAGGAGGAGGAGGAAGAGGAGGAGGAGGAGCCTGTGACCTGGTAGTGGTGACAGATGTGGTGGTGGATAATAATTCCTATGTCCATCACTAAGAATGTTCCATGGATAAATCGCTCACCCTTTTTGGGCCCAGCAATTTGCCTGCTACACTGTGGGCACTCAAAAAACTCTTACTGAATGAATGAATGTTCTAATAATTTCTAAGGCTCATCCTGGCTCTGCAACATGAGATAACCCTGTATGGATTTGTAGTAATCTTTTCCCAGATCTCAACACTTAGACTTGTGGTATAAAAAAATGGGTGAACTGCAGTATTTGTCAAAAACCAATTATAAAGACTCAGTTCATCATTGCAAAGTTACTTCATTCACTTTAAGCTATTGCCTCTTTAGGGAGCACAAAGAAAGAGAATGATTAGAAAGTGGAATAAGTTTTAAAAAAAGGTAAGAGGAAGCTGAGAGTCATGTGTGAGTGGAATTATTAGGTTCCGAAACATTCCAAATAAGACCTGGTCTTTGGGGACCCGGCCCCCTTGTTACTTCACAGCAAAACTTCACCTTCAGTGTGTACATTTAGAGAGGGCGAATCATCCTAAGAAAACGCCTCAACTCCAAAGGCAGGTCCATTTAGAACTGCAGGTGGTCTTTATGAACAGACTTAACCTGCTGAGACAGGCAGGCTGGGCGTTTTCCGCTGGGCACACAGCCACCTCTACGTTGCATATATTAACTCCAAAGTTTGTGGATATAAAAAAAATCCGCTGGTCTCCTGTGGCCAGAAAGCCAGTGCATCTCTGTGCAGGCTCCATTCATTTGCTCATAAAATCAAACTCCTTATACCATGAACTGGTACAGATTTCTACAGAAATATCTGTACTCTGGTGTCTCCACATCTCTGCATATCCCTTTTATTTTTTTGGCACATAGAATGCTGCTTTTGGCCAAGTCTGATATCTAGGGCTTTCTAAGAAAAATATATACCTCATAGGTATGTATACTTCTTATTTCAGCATCTCATGGAGTCTTCTCAGGCCCTTCTCCAACCTACTCTGAACCCTAGAGCTCAGGTCTGGTACCCCTTGTTTCTGGCCTCTTGATTACTCCCTGGATTCTGCCTCTCCATGAGAAGGAGAAGGAGAAACGAAGAAGAAGCAGAAGGAGGAGCCTCTGGTGCTGGTGCTGGTGCTGGTGCTGGTGCTGGTGCTGGTGCTGGTGCTGGTGCTGGTGCTGGGGGGAGATGGTGGTGGTGGGTAGTGTGATTCCCATGCATACCACTAAGAAACAGCTCCACGGATAAACCTGCTTCCTAAAGACGTAATAGTTTAAAGTGAATGAAGTAACTGCAATGATGAACTGAGCCTTTATAATTAGTTTTTGACAAATACTGAAGAGTTCTTTTTTCCTTTTTTTTTTTTTTTTGACAGAATCTTGCTCTGTCAGCAAGCTGCAGGGCAGTAGTAAGATCACAGTTCACTGCAGCCTGGACCTCCCAGGTTCAAGCCATCCTCTCACCTTAGCCTCCCAAGGATCTGAGACCACAGGTGCACACCACCAGGCCTGGCTAATTTTTTATAGAGATGAGGTTTCAACATGTTTCCCAGGCCAGCCTCAAACTCCTGGACTCAAGCGATCTGCCTGCCTCAGCTTCCCAAAGTGCTGGAACACAGGTGTGGGCCACTGTGCCTGACCTCACTCATTTTTTTTTAACACTGCAAGTCTAAGTGTTTTGCTTTGTTTTGTTTAACTGCTGTGCGTTGTCTCTCAGCTTGCTTTTGGTTCCTCCAGCCAAGGTCCAACAAGACTAACATTCTAGACTTAGCGTCCTGCCAGGGGTCTATTCTCAGCCTTCCAACGAGCTCCTCACCATCACTTTAAGACAGTGTGAGCACTGTCTCTGGAACCTCCTTCAGGAAGAATGAGAACTTCACATCCTCCTCTCCGCGTCTCATGTGTTAGGATGCCCACTGGCTGTTCATAGATTTGTCTCTAACACAACTTTGGACTCCTCAGGAGAGTAGTCATGTTTCCCCCCATGGTCTACCTGCAGCACGCCACAGGTAAACATGAACATACAGCAGACACCAATCAGCCGAAAACAAAAGGCAAAGTCAACTCCCCCACCAAACAAAAAGACTTCTGTGCTTTTTCGTTTTTTTTAATTTCTGTGTGCCCGTGGTATTCATGATATACTGCTCTCATTTCTCCCAATTTTTCTAAAATACATTCCCTCTGAGATCCATCTACTTTTTTCATGTTTAAATAAGCTAATCTAAGGGTCAGAAATGAATTCTGAAGACACAGTAGAGGACAAAAGAGAAGCGATTGCCCTAAGCAGGAGACTCAGAGCCAAGGGTCATTGTTAATTGATTTCTGAGAGTTTGTGAAGCATGAAAAGCATTTCAGAAGCAGTGTGACAGCAAAATATACAATGACACTCTATGACTCAGCAAAATAGGACAGCGGGAAGAGCACTAAATTGGAAGTCAGGTGGCGGGCTGCTAGCCACAGCTTGCACTCATCAGCTCTGTGACCTCAGAAGTCACTTGACCTCTCTGGACCTCATTTATTATAAAAGCAAGGATCTGAACTAAATTTGACCACCATAAAGGTTCTCTGACCTGAGGATAAACCTTCAAGTGCATTCCACTGAAGCAAAGACTACATGTAAGCCACAGCAATGGAGACTACAGAGGAGGTGCCAACAAGCTGGCTGTGGAGGGATGGGTGGGCAGTCAGTCACATCTTTTCTTCCATGGATGCACTTGAGTTATTTCAGACCCAATTAGAAGAATAGATTATGTTATGAATGAACAAAGGCATTATAAACATATGCCTTCTGCCCCCAACTGTATTTTGTTCTGTTATTTAAAAAAAAATCCCCCACACAAGTAGATTTAATCCAAATTAAAGCTCAACAGGGAAAATAAAGGAATCTGCCTCTGCATATGGTACTTCATGGTTCATTTGACAACTATTCTACAAGAAACCCATGAGTTACTTTTGGTGCCTCTGCCTGACGGAAAGAGAGCAAGAGGACAAAATGGAACGGAGATAGTGGAGAAGGAAGGAAAGCTCACCGTGCCCATGCCCTGCACTGTTCTGTTGCTAAGCAACACCCCACAGCTCCCCAGAGGAAGGATGTCTCTGGGAGGGGCACCCAGAGGACACATCTTCAGCAGACCCTTTTCTCATTAACTGAAGGCAACACCATTACGGGAGCCTGATTTTACCAGATGCACATTTTCATAGAATGATAATCTGATAGTGATCACAGCAAAAGCTCTGTGCATCCCCTGCTGTGGCCAAAGGGGAAGATCTGAGAGGAAAACTACTAGAGCCAACCTATTGAAAGCAGGGGTAGGGCATGGGGAAGCAAGGCCTCCTGTGCACGAAGGACCTGGACTCACCACTTATCCACTTAGCCTCGGGGTCATGAATTTTTAAATCTTCACTGAAGAGATCTTCCACAGTGACCTTCTTCTTTTGAGACAGACTATTATCTTCCGCTAGAAAAGAAAAAAGCAAAGAGTTAAGCTTGTTTAATAATTAATAAAATGAGAGGAACATAAACATTCTGATTGCCATTCAGAAATAGTATGGATGGAAACACATATGATGTCCCTAAGTGAGCGGGGAGCAAAAGCCAGTCTCGCTTTCCATTTTTAATGAAACTGTCAAAATCTATGCTAAGGAGATCCTGATTCAGGAGAATGGCATCGTGCCTCCTCACCCACACCTGCAGCACACAAATGTTCATATTTCTTCATATGGAGGTAAATAATTCTTTCAAGATTGATTTATGAATGATACGGAGGGAATTGTCAAGAGAGGAAGGTATGGATACCCAGAATGGATCTCAATCATATTATGTAATTGATCATTCATGAAGCATTCATTAAATGCCACTAATTATAGGCAGCATTGTGGCTGCTGGAAATTCAAAGGCACAGAAAATATTCCTTAGGTCTTCATTCTCCGTAAGCTTCACTTGTCCCTGGTTGTCTCTGGGTCACGGGTTAGTTCTTCTTCAGACAGGATCACACCCAAATTACCTGTACACAAACTACCAGATGCTGCCTTGCCTCATCCTGGTTACAAGGCTTAGGAGTAAGCACTTTGGATAAGCCTGTGAATACACTTAGCCAATGGTCATCCCAAGAGGAGTTGCTTAGTTAATGGCACTAGCAGGTGAGACGTTAGAAATCTGACAGCTTTTTTTTCCCTATATTTCCAGTGGTCAAAGCTCTAGAGTTTTTGCTCCTCCTCAGAAGAGGCTCTCTCCATTAGAGGCACAAAATCCACTTATCAACTCTGAAAAGATGAAGGGCTGTCAGCATGTCTGACCTGCAAGCATAGGGACAGTCCATTCCGCCACCCTTGCTTCTGTGGTACTAATAAGAAACTACTCTGTGTATTAACTTGACCATATATGATGGACATCATCTGCCTAGGATGCTGATTTACTTCCCTGCCCTCTTAACTGGAAGATGCTAATGATCATTGCACATTTTTTTTTCGAAGACTCCCAGTTCTCATTTCAACAGTTTCCTGTTCTGCTGCTATGTGGGGTGATCTCGATGCTAATTGAAGTGCATAGGTCTGTGTGCATTCCACACTCAGTGGCTCCAGATCTGTGTGTTTTTGCATTTCAATGCCTGCTGGGTGTGTCTGTTTCTTGTTTCAATTTCTGGGTGTTACACTTCTTGAACTGTTATTGTTCCTGACCTCCATAGAACCATTTGCCCCTTTTAATTTTCTGTTTTAAACTCTACGGTGGGTTAAAAAGACAGAAAGAAATTTTGTTCGGACTACATAAACAAATAGGAGTAAATAACCTCTAAATGAAATCTTCAAAGCTTCTTTTAGGACCCTTGTACGTTCCATAGGTTTTATTACATCGCTTTTGGTTTCTTCCTTTTGGGTCTGGATGTTGACAAATTACTGAAGTTGTCAGAAAAGTCATGTATTCCTTTGTGCATGGATTGATCTCTTGAATATCAAATAGGGTTACTGTGTACAGCAGTGTTTTGAAACTTACAGAATGACTGGAGGTGGCCTTACTGTGAGTTGTGGCTGTACATGGAGCTATCCTAGGTGCTGAACCTAGCACATTAAACCAAACCAAGTTCTTTCTTCCCTCTAGGGGCTTTCTAGGTGTGGCTGAAGCAGCCCCAGGAAAGGTACATGGCTTTAACATGATGCATTTCCATAAAGCTACGCTCTGATCTTGCAATTAAGAAGTCTAACATTTTCTGGGACATTCTTAAGGACATGGTCAGAAAATACATAATCATGTTAAAATTTACATTTTTATCAAATTAAACTTCACTATTCAAGAATGATTCTAGCCATACAATGACACATAAGGTATCCATGTGTCTCATAAGGAAAATAATGTAAGACTGTCATTTAAATAAACTTTGGAAATAAAAGATGAAAGGTAATTTATTCACTTTCTGAAAATGTTTCTTTTCATACATGTACTTTATTTTGAAAATTGTGATTTTATTTGGTTTTTAAAGGTATTTTTAAAACACTTAAGCCTTCTATATAGAGAAAATATCTGGTGGAGGCATTATGCAACATGTTATTTTTAAAAGTGCTCCATTCAAGCCAGGACATGACTCCATCATAATTGGTTCGGTCTCCTTGAGAAACTCACTGCTGGCCTCTCTGGACTAGATGGCTCATTTGCACATTCAACTGATGTCTAATTTGTTGGTTTACAGTTTGAATCATTCCCCAAATCATCTGAGATAGTGACAGGCAAGAGTGACTGCCACTTTCCACAAACCATGCTAAACCCTGAAGAAGAGAAAGACCTCATATGAGATCACAGAGCAGAGGAGCCAAAGCAGAATGAATGAATGACCAGAATGCAGCAGAGACGATGCTGAGAGGAACGGGGCTTGTTCTGCTAATACTGAAGCAGACCAGGAAATAAGAAAGTGGGAGGGATTCCAGGAGGACTTCCTGAAGGAAAGAACCTGCTAGCCAAGATAAAGGAGAGAAAAATATTCAAGCTAGGGAGGAATGTAAGGGCAAGAAGATGTTGGTGGATGCAGTATTTTCAGGAGACTGTGCCTTGCCATTGGCATGGTCAACAGTGTGAGCAGGAAATAGCTAGAGGGGAAGGGAGATTCTCTCATTGTCTTTGATATTCTGAAACTCCATTAGAAAACTGTCCACTGTGGATTTTCTTTAAAAATTTTGCTTAATAGTCAGTAATATTTTCAACTTAAAGACTACCTTTCAGCTGGGCACAGTGGCTCATGCCGATAATCCCAGCACTTTGGGAGGCCAAGGCAGGCATTGCCTGAGCTCAGGAGTTTGGAAGCAGCCTGGGTAACATGGTGAAACCCCGTCTCTACTAAAAAAAAAAAATACAAAAAATTAGCCAGGTGTGGCGGCCTGTGCCTATAGTCCCAGCTACTCAAGAGGCTGAGGCAAGAGAATTGCTTGAATCCAGGAGGCAGAGGTTGCAGTGAACCGAGATCATGCCACTGTACTCAGCCTGGGTGACAGAGGGCGACTCCATCTCAAAAAAAAAAAAAAAAAAAAAAAAAAGATTTTCTTCACATCAGAAATACTACCAATAATTACCAATAATTCTCTCATATAATATTGCTTCTCCACCATTTGATTCCCCTCCTTCCAGAATCCCATCTGGGCTGGGCAGAAGCTTCTAGGTCAAACCCCACACCTGGGGCTTTCTGTTAAAATTTTCCACGTTTTTTATGGCTCTGGGAGTATTTGGGTGATTTCTTCAGTTCAATCTCCTATTCGTCAATATTTTAATTCACCTAGACTGTTCTATTACCAAACTACTAAGTTTTGAAATTTAAAATAATTACATTCTAATATCTAATATTTCTAAATAACTTTTTCAAGATCATCTACTCATATTTTATAGTTTTATGCTTCTTTAGCATATTTGTAGTTTTTTAAAAAAATGTCATTTTCTGGGCTGGGCGCGGTGGCTCACGCCTATATTCCCAGCACTTTGGGAGGCCGAGGCGGGTGGATCACGAGGTCAAGAGATCGAGACCATCCTGCTCAACATGGTGAAACCCCATCTCTACTAAAAATACAAAAAATTAGCTGGGCATGGTGGCATGTGCCTGTAATCCCTGCTACTCGGGGGGCAGAGGCAGGAGAATTGCTTGAACCCAGGAGGCAGAGGTTGCGATGAGCCAAGATCGCGCCATTGCACTTCAGCCTGGGTAACAAGAGCAAAACTCTGTCTCAAAAAAATTTTTTTTTAAATGTCATTTTCTGTATTCCCTATTGATTTAAATTCCTTTGGATTTTGGTCTTCCTGTGTGTTGGGCTGGCTCCTGCTCTACAGGGGGCTGTTCGCTGCAGATGCCTTGTGGTTCTCAGTCAAGCTCTGTCTTACAGGTGCTCTGGGTCTTGAGAGGCCCCTGGCTGGGTGGTCCTCAGGCAGCTTTGAGACTCCGTCTGGGTAACAGCTCGAAACTAAGTCTTGGGTGGCCATTTTGGGTAGAGCCCTTGCCCCTAAGTGGTGATGTGATCTGAGGCCTTCTGACCATGAATCCAGTTTTAAGGCAGGGGCTCCATATCCCCGAGTCTCTCATGAAAACCAACCTTCCAGGCCCTCCTGTTGTGCCTGACTTCAGTCTCTATGACGTGAGGGTGATGGAAGTTTGGCCTTCCCTCCTGCTGTAGGTTTTTACCTGTTCTTTCTTGTGAGGATGCCTTCCCTTTCAACCCAGGTATGTGAAGAAATCCTGTTCTTGTTTTTGAGAAATAAGCAGCTATTTTGTGTGCTTGTTTGCTTGCTTTTTGAGACAGAATCTTGCTCTGTCACCCAGGATGGAGTACAGTGGTGCAATCTCAGCTCACTGCAACCATTGTCTCCTGGGTTCAAGGGATTCTCCTGCCTCAGCCACCTTGGACTACAGGTGTGCACCACCATGCCTGGCTAATTTTTGTATTTTTAGTAGAGACGGGATTTTGCCACGTTGGCCAGTCTGGTCTTGAATTCCTGACCTCAGGTGATCCGCCTGCCTCGGCCTCCCACAGTGCTGGGATGACAGACATGAGCTACCATGCCCAGCCACAGCTATGTATTTTGTTATTTATTTTGCTATACTTTCACATGCTTGCCATCAAAACAAGGAATATTTCTGTGCTCAATCTTCCTTCTTAAACTGGAAGGCAACATAAAGTTGGCGATGCAAGAAGGGGCAGTGGCCTCCATTGTTTGGATTTCATCCTAATGGCAATTTGGGGATCACTGAAAAAAAAAAAAAGTTTCTTCCAGCCCTTTAGCTTGATACATTATAGAAAACTCCATGGCACTTCAAATTGAGTTGCCCAGTTAGCTCACTGGCATGCAAAGGCATGCTGAAATCTACAGCCATGTAGACATTTTTTATGGAGGCCGGTGTGTAATGCAAATTCCTCAGTCTTTTTTTCCTTTCGTCAGATATTTGTTAAGTAGTAAAATTACTTGAGAACACATTGGAACTCCTTTGCTAAA